GTTGTTGAATAGGATCATTGTCTGGGATGGGAGTAGAGGGGTTGGGGGGTTATTGATATTGAGAGTGTGAATGATGGCTTTAGCTTGGGGATTAGCACGGGCGATGTGGCCTCTGAGAGTACCGAGGTCACTGGGGTCGTCGACGTCGAGGACCCACGGAATGTGACTAGCTTGGATAAACGCGTGTGGCGGTGCATCGAGGGCTGTGGTGAATATCCCCAAAGGATTCTCACGGATAAAGTCGTGCAGAGCAGGGATATCGTGCGAGGTGTGGATTGGGCGGAGGTACATCGAAGAGTGAGGGTGAAACCGGTCCGGGAGCCGTACCCCCAGAATTGTTCAATTTGTTGAATTCAACGGTATGCTTGGTCGACCGCGACCACCAGCTCAAGTCCGGCGAGCGTCGCCATCGCACTCCGCGTGTTGGAGTCCAATGCCGACGTCGTCTCAATCTATCTCACAACTGGATACTAGCAGTACTAACTCTCACTCTCACTCCCACTCGCTAACCCGCTCCGAACTCGCCCGTCTCTCAGACCAGAACACCGAGCTCATCCAGAGATTGGAAGTGTTGGAGGAAGAAACCGCGGTGAAGGAACGCGCGGGGCGGAGGACCGTGGTCAAGTTGGAGAAGGAGATCCAACTCCTCAGGGACGAGTTGGATGAGGCGAGGCGTGAAGCTGCCAGTGCCATGCAGAGTCCGACGACGAATCAACAAACGAGAACAAACGATGGCGACGGAGAAGATCTTCATTCCGAGTCTTGCTCCTCCTCCTCCTCTACACTCCAACACTCGAATTCAAATCCAGATTCAATTTCCATAATCCTTGAATACCTCCACTGTAAAATCACCCAACTCGAAGACGCCAATGTCGAGATATGTCGTGAACAGCGCGAGGCGGGGTGTAGACTCCACGATGCGCAGCTCGAGGTTGAGGAGATGAGAAGACTTTGGTCTTTGGACGGGGCACCACATAGTGAAAGGACTGCCATCGACTTGGAATCCGAGCTCCGTGGCTGCTACTCCATAATTCAGGATAGAAAACCCGTCGTTGGCTTGTTCGAACAAGAACCGCTCGAGTTCAACTCTCTGTCTCTAATTTATTCTCGCTCCCAATCACTGGATCCTGGAACGAGTGAGCTTGAGGGGATTGGCAGTGACGAGGGCTCTTCGTTCCCTTCTTTGCAGCGCCAACTGTCTTCTCCCCTTCCTCATCCTTCACACCTATCCCCAAAATCCCAACAAACCCAAACCCCCAACTCTCACCACACCCATCGTCTTTCCCTTTCCCAAACCGTCAAATCCCGGACCGCGAGGTGGAGTTGGAGCGCTATTTTCCCATCCACATCATCGACAGACAAAATCACCCGCGTGCATTCGGTGGTCCTTGAAGCGTGGTTGTGGATCCAGCTCCTTGTTGTGCTGGGGGTGTTTGTGTGGGCTGTTGCCAGGCGGGGGCCGAGTAGGGTTTTGGAGAATCGTGGACGTGGTGGGGGTGATGATGAGGAGAAAGAAATACGTGGATAAGGACTCTTCCTGTGTCTAGTCTTTTAGCGCTCTCCTACTAACACTACTATTACTACTACTACTACTATTCCTTAAACCAAATTCACCCTCTGGGTATTGTGGTATATTGTAACGGCAGGTAACGCTGTCGAGAAATCATGACGGTTATGGAGGAGGAGCGACAACGACAACTTACCTGGTATCAACTTGACACCTCTTGACACACACTCATCAACTGTAGAGAATAAATAAGATGGGGAGGGGGTGAAACTACATACTACATACTACTACTACTACACAAAGTGGGGTGTTCCAAGTAATAATACAACCGGCTACCTACTACTATGCTATGTATACCGTTTCCTATGAATTGTACAAGGAGACAAATGAAATGAGATACGAAGTACAGAACTAGAAGAATCGAAAAATGCGGCGAAACATGAATGACAACAACATATACAGCCCAAACTTTGTTTGATCTAATTGATGTATTATCAGCATTAGCAGTCCGTAACACCAAACAGCTTATCAAGCTGTGTCTTATACTCCTCCTCTACAGCCTTTCTGCGGATATTCCCCTTTGACGCTGTTCGGGGTAACGAACCAAGAGGGACGACGATGATCATATCAGCGGATGTGATACTCTCGTGGATGTATCTTCGGCGGTGGAATTGTCGGATCTTTCTCCAGATGTCCTTTTTGAGCTTGGTCTCGTCGACCCCTGCGGTGCTTTCGACAAAGAGCACTGGGGAGGGACGTCCGGTTCCGACGACGATACATTCTGAGATTAGGGAACCGCACATTGCGCGGGCGTTGTCTTCGATGGACCTAAGGGGTTATTATTGTAAAATGAGTATGTAGAAAAGGCGTTATTTGACGAAAAATACTTACTTGGTATCACATCTGAGACTGCTCTCAGTCTTAATCCAATCATCATCCCTCCCGGCGAAAATATACTCTCCAGATCCGACTTCGATGAATAGGTCCCCGGTATGGAAATCCCCATCCTCGGGATTTCTCAACGAAACGTCGGGGCAGTCGCCAGATGCCGCAAGCACCACAAACTCGAGTAAGCGATTCGTAGATTGATGCCCAGAGTCATCGTCCTCAGCATGAGCACTAGTATTGACCGGACGGAACTCGTACGCAAGTCCGCTCAATGGGCGTAGATGTCTCCGAGTATTCGGATCCTTCCCTCCTAATGAAACAAGTGTCGATCCACCCAATTCCGTACTCCCAAAAATCTCCTGGAGGTTAATCCCGGATTTATAAGCGAAATCCTGGTCTTCCTTGGATAACGCCATTCCGCAGGTGGTGACCTCGTCGAGCCCCACTAGCACGCGGAGAAAATCTGGGTTGCTGCGCGCAGCGCGGAGGAGAGCGGAGAAGAAGGCGGAGAATTGCCATATACGGTTGACATTGCAGTGTTCGACCATTGCGGCTAGTTCGTCTGCGGGGTAAGGGAATCGTCTTGGCTGGGCGATGCAGGTGCCGTATTGCATGAGGCAGATGAGCATAGTCGTTTGTCCTATATGACACATGCTTCCGCTGTAAAGGGGGTGTCAGTATGGGGTGTGAGATTATGGATTTTAAAAGGAAGGTTACTCACATCCAAGTACTGACGTCCTGGCCGTTCTTGTTAAGTGGGACACAAAGCTGACTGGCTTTGCGAGCTACGGCATCGAGCCAGCGATAGTTACAAGGGACTAGTTTGGGGCTTCCGGACGTGGATCCACTCGTGTGGAACACGAATGCACAATCCGAAGGATCAACAGGTTCTTCTTCCGATACAAGATATGAATCGTTGACATCCTGAAGTAAGCTCTGTGATGACACCTCGATATCAGAGAATGAAATAGCTGTAAATATCGGTACAGGGGAATTCATCATCCCTTGGTCACCGATGGAGCTTAAGGTCCCCTGGTCACCTACCAGTGCCCTAGCTCCCGCCTTCTGAAGAAGCTCAAAAATCACAGTCGGGTCAGGAAGACGAAGACTGAACAACTGGGGCACGTATCCCGCTTTAGAAATCCCGTAGATGTGGAGCACATCAGAGTAGGTGTATCCCCCAATCCACAGTCCCACCACCGATTTACGCGGAATGTTACCCCGGATATTTAACTCGCGTGCCCAGTATCTGGCGCATAGCTGGACGTCATCGGAGAATTGTCTGAACGTGATGGTGTCCCAGCGGGGAATTCCAGTAGAAGTGGATTCCGCTGAAGGGACTTTGAATGCTGCTAAGCGAGCGAAACGATCGCTGCTATCCCGGAGGATAGATAGGTGTGTTAGTAGCTTAGGTTTGCTGGAAGAGGAGGTTGAGGTGGAGAGAGGCATCTTGGAAGGAAAGAGATGCACTGTAAAAGAAAGAGATAAGGAGTCAGCACAGATCATCCCCAGCCCTTCTTATAAAGTTGGAGAATACTTTTTTGAATGCGGATAACAAACCTTGCACCGAATCATGTCGACGAAAGAAGAGTCACAACTTTGTCGGAAGCGGTACTGCATACTACGCCGTACGGCCAGACAGCGCTCACGTCTCAGGTAACGAACCAACCACTGAACAGCATTGAGATGTATAGATGTTCGTGTACCCATGTACTGAGCTTTTCTTTCGGGTTTCCTTTAGTGGTGCGTAGACCGCAAAACACAGTGAGAAGTTAACGCAGCTGCTGTAAAACTGAAATGGGGTTAAGTTTCTTACTATTTTAGTCACTAGCTCGAAAGGATTACAGATGACACCCCCGCATTTTTTCGGATATGGTTCAAATTAGGCCCCCTTGCATAGCTGTGATCTGTGACACTGAAACCGCTCTTGATTTCTTGTGCTGTACAGACCCAATGTTACAGCTGATTGTTTACTGTTACAGAATGTTCAATACTGGAGTGGCTCGAATGAAAGCTACACTGAAAGGGACCGGTGTAGCAAACTGAGATTGGGCCGGGGACGAAATTCGCATGGGTGACTCTTTGAGAACTCTTGCACATCCTCCGATGTATGTGTTATGCAGAAACTTGACGCGCGAATGATGCTATGAGTCGAATGAGTTCTACCTATTGAATTGGACAAGATTGGACACCGGAATGACTCGAACGCAGTCTGATTAGTGACCAAAATACACAGCCTTTTCGATAGCAATTTTTTTTCGAGATACGGCGAGTGGCGGGAGGTCGAGCGTCAACGTCAAAGAGAATGCGCCCAACGGGTATCCAAACTGGGAATGATAGGAACTGATGGGAACTTATTGGAACCAGGGTGACTGAGTAAGCATCTAAGGTAATGCTGATACTATCTTCATAGATCTTCATTGATGTTGGCGGAGTCGGGGTCAACGTTGCCAACTGAGAGAGAGAGAGAGAGATTGAGGTGAAAGAGCGGTTGCAGTATAAGGCGCGTAAGCTCGAAGAGAAGGATGTACTGACGGTTTCCGATGGAAGTTGGCAATGAGTACTCCACTTTATTCACATAAATAAAAGTGCCCAGCTTACATATACACCGTTGGTGAAGTGGTTATCATGCTTGCCTTCCATCTCAGCCCGATTTGAAGTAGAGGAGCAAGCGGCTCGGGTTCGATTCCCGAACGGTGTAATCGTTATATTTCGTGTTTGTATCTTTTTTTCTTTGTCCGAGGGCGTGAATCAGGGCAGGATTCGTTCCTGAATGAAAATTCCTAAAATATCTCAAAATTCGTAATAGAAACGACGATGAACCACACGCGGCCCCTCGGGCTAAAATCTTCCAAAGCGCTGCGGCTCTCAGTCTATGTCAAGTTCCGGTGTTGCTTTCCGCCCGTGTTTGACTGTTCTACCCAGCTTACTACAATACCCAAGACTCTTCAAAACTCACTGACTCAGTGCCCTGAACGTCAACGAAACTCAATTCAATGCTAAAAAGATAATCACAGAATCCTCCATAACATATCCGTATGTGACCGCAAGGGAACTATGGCGGCTTTCAAAGGCTTTCTCGCTCAATTGAATGGATTTTGGACCACTTATTTATCCGCCTCCTTTGTCCAAGTGGCTGGGAATTGAACATTTCTACTGCTTAGCCCTGAAAAGCTCGTAATATACGTTCATGAACTCAACATTCACAGGTTCAACTCTGTCCAGCACTAGCTCTCCGACTTGGTATGTTCCTTCCATTGACTCTGGCTCTGGGGACGAGGTGACTGCACGTTTGAATTGCACTTTCCGAATGCTGGTGTCCCACAATACTACACACAGTGGTATGACTCTGGACGACGAGCCGCAACACGGTGAACTTGTCCAACCTTGTTGTGGATGTAGATAGACTACGCTGATCGTCACCGTGGGCCAGACGACACCTCTGGGTAGTACCTCGATCATCATTGTGAATGATTCCAACGTATCAAGGTAGTGGATGGATTACGAGTGGACGCATCTTTAATCATGAACGGAGGCTGGGCAAATGGGCCACCGTTAGGAAATTCGACTCATCGCACAAACTCCGTGGGTAATGCTTTCAGATCCCAATTTTCTGGTGTGCACTTTTCTTCTCTGGCCTGTTTTTTTCAGCCAATGCCTTCCAATCCTTTTTCTAGGCAGTAGCATCGCAGTCTTTGGTGTTTTTGAATGGACTGGGGGCCGGAAGCAGTACTCTCGATCTCGCTCTGGACAACCACACTCTTACCACGGTCGTCAGCATACTATCAGGCTCAACTCCTCCCCATCACGAAACACCGAATTGTCAATTTTTCTCATCCAAACTTACCCTCAGGCAACCATACACTATTTGTAAATGTCGCTGACACGATTGGAAACCAGACGGCCCACATTCGTTTTCGATTATCTCACATACATTCCATCGTTTGAGTCACTCGCGAACAAGCCCAGACTTCACGGACACGGGCTCTGCATTACCAACACCTAAGGCAGTAGCAGCTCCCACGCAAGGGAACGGCAACTCCGAGCATGTAGAGACGGGCGTGCTCGTTGGTTGCGTGGTGGGGGTCCAGTGGGCCTGACGTTTCTCGCTGCTTTTGCAATTATCATAGCCCGCCGATGGCATCAACTCAAGGCAGAGTCGGTGCTTGTTTCTCCTGGACCGATGGATACGTAAAACATGAATGGTAAAACTCCCCTTACATTTCAACCTTTCAACCTGTTCCTTGATACTCATGAACAATGCAGCATATGCGACTACAAATTCCACGGGCGCACAGGCCCAGTCACCAAGTGTCCAGAGTTTCGCTTCCCCTGTTAACGATAAGATCAAGACTCTACCAGTATGCCATAATGGTCCGCCGTGGTCCACACCAAGCCCTGTGCTATACCCTTTGAGGAATTGACAATGTCCAGTCTGCTACGTAGTGCGGTGTCAGAAACAGATACGAACCCCACACAGGCTCAAATCAACAAGTTACGTAGGAGACTCGATGATATAACTTCGCAGAATTCACCTCCAGCCTATGACGATCTTTGATCAAAACATCATTCAGTCTTTTGGAGGGAAGCTATCCCTTGCATCTAATGTTGATAGTATCCGTACTTTTGAGCCTGGAGCGCGAATACTCTGCGTTATTTTGTCGACGCTGTTACAAACCTTTGTCCATCTATGTATCATTATATATATATATATTTTCAGCTCTGAACTTCGAAGAAGTTTGAAAACAGACTTATCATAGAACATAGGAAAGGTTTTTCTAAGAGTCAAAACAAGCGCCCCCAATCATCTCGCACAGAGATAGTTGATTGCGATAAGTTGATTGCACAGGGCAAATGAGAAAACTATTTGCCCTTGAATGTTACTGTCAATATTGTGTTCTGTTGAACTGATCCGAGTTTGTGTCCGAGTAGCATCTAGCACATCGTTAATAACTTTTACAGTCGTGATACATTGTGCATGAAGTATTATCATTCCAAACTGTGTAACGGAGAATTATGTCAAGATGATTCGTATACACGCCGGACTGCCTTTTTATCTGTGGAATTGTTCTCCTAAAAAAACAACAAACCTTTTGCCTACACCTGCCTCGCTCCAGTCCACACTTCCGCGCTCAATAGTACCCAGTGTGATCGCCTTCTTCTGAGCAGTGACAAACTGCCGCTTCAGTCGGGAAAGCTCTGGTAGTGTAACATTCCGTGATGGAAGCGTTAGTTTGAGACGTGTAGAAGCTGACACTAGGGATGTATGCGAAAGAGTTACAACACCCCCAAACCCGTTTTGTGACGACATTATTTGTTGTATAATCGAGAGCGTTGTTTTTTCCAGTACTGCTAGTGCATCTGTCGGAGCTTTAGCTGTCTATTATGATTGAACGATTGCGTTAATTAGTAGGGCACGCTGCAAAACAGGGTGGAAACCAACCGCGACTGTTCCTGAATTGGGGTTATTTACTTTGCCCTTTTCTATAGCATCCCAAATAGCATTCAAAGTCGATTGTGATATTGATTCATCGGACCACAGTAAAGTAAAGAGAGGTGAGTCCCATCGAACCATTGAAGAGGGTTCTTCATATCGTTGAAAGAGATTTTCCAAGGTTTCATCGGAATATTTATCATCTCCCTCCCGAAGTTTGTTCCAGTTTCGACATTGTTCTTGTGGTGTCAGCACATATACCTAGTTGACAAAGCACAATTAACATAGGCTCTGGTCAGAGGACGCAGTAGACAAAGCGGCCGGAATTGACCAGTTTAGTTTGGTGCAATGACTATCCGAGCGCCACGGAGCCACCCAATGTTCGCATTAGCAAAGACCACGGAAGAATGAAGGTCCGTCTCATCAGCATCATCAAAATCTATCCGGAGATAGTACAAGGAAGTAGAAGGAAGTTCAAGGAACAGCGAGAAATTAGAACAGCCCCCCGGTCGAATGTTCCGAGTATTCGAAAATAATTTGATGCTTTGTATACACAGATGTAGCGGGTGGGCGACCCTTCGATGGAACTAGAGATAGTAAAAGTGTAGACTGTGTTGGAATTGGTTGCAAGTCAAGAGCAATTGTGGTATTTGGATGGACCGTAAGGGCATACGCATATGCACATATCAACCCAGAAACGAACGAAATGGAAGAAGGAAGGCAGACGCGGTACCGCAACCGCTGTGAAGAGAACACTCACAGTTGCGACTCTAACTTTCATCTCTCTGGCAGCACAATAAATTTGATATCGAAAGCCCTTGATATAGTTGGGGGCATCGACAATGAGGATATTATTTGGTGAAAGTAGCCGTATTATTGCAGTCAGGAGTGCACCGCGAGCTGGTTTTTCGGCAGCAGAGTTATCGTAGGCTGATCGCTTGATATCTAGCGAATGGGACATTTCTGAGAGCAGTATAACGTCTTTTGAGCCACCGGCCTTTTCCTGAAGGAACGCCTTTAGTTGCCTTGCTCTGGAGCTTTTTCCAGAAGCAGGATAGCCAGTGATGGTAATGAGTGACATATAATAGCAGAGACAAACTTAGGCAAACTGAATCTGTGTAGTACTAGTAGGGGGTCGTTGATATAACCCAACGTGGGAAATCCAAGGTTGTCTTTACACGACCGAACTGATTGGTTTTGCCTCACATACGCTCCTTATCATTTTCTTCTTCTTTCTTTCGACATTCTCCTTTGGGCTGAGCCAAAATCTGTGTATCCTCCCGCTTTTTGCGGCCAACTCTGCGGTAAAACGCCATGATCGCCGCCCTGAATCCCGCAGTCTCTCAGCAACAGCAGTATCCAATGCCTGATGATCTCGAGGAAAGGCTTTGCCCTGGTTGCAAACTCTCGGTTGTATCGGAAGAAGGTGGACTGGTCGTTGCATTCGGGTACGTTCTCCTCCCCCAAAAGAAATTCGCTATTTGACTTAGTGACATTAGCCAATGTTTCTTCCACGTAAACTGCTTTAAATGCGCCAAATGTAACGACAAAGTCACCGCAGACACGAATCTGCTACTGCTCTCCGATGGCTCTCCAATCTGCGCCAACTGTTCTTACGCTTGTAACGTCTGTAAACAGCCAATTCTTGACGAAGCTATCATGACCGGTGACGATGCATACCATGCTCATTGCTTTAAGTGCAAAGTTTGCAAGAACCGGATCGATGAACTCGTCTTTGCCAAAACTAGCCAGGGCATATATTGTATGGATTGTCATAACGAGCGTATGATAAAGATTAGGAAACATACCCAGAAGAAAGCAGAGCGCGATCGGGAGAGGCAGGCTGCACAGACAGCCGCCTATAATGAACTTGGCGTCGGCGGAGCCAACAAAGGTGGAAGTGTATCTACTAGTCATCGCGACAGAGAACTTAGGGCTAGGGAAATGCTCGGAAAGGATACTTCATCGCAGACCCTTCAGTCATCTCGCAGCACTGAATTCTCGCTCAACGGACATCCATCTCATCCCCTTCGTGCACCGCATGCGAATAAGGCCTCCGAATATTCCCGTAATAACCAGTCATCAGTATTTCACCCACCCCCTCGCACTTCATCTGTCGATAGCGCCAGTCAACGCCCTACTCCGTCCAAGAATCACTCTATGCCTGTTGCTCTAGAAGAGCCGTCTTTATCCAATCACCCTGCAGTTCCTTCACTCTCTGTTCCTCTTCCCACTAATGGCGGTCTCCATGTCACGTCCACCCGGGA